TATGAATTACAGCAGTGTCAGCCTGGGCCTTTTTATGAGCTTCATACCTGCAGATATTATTGAACTAAAGGTCACTACATTTCCTGGAACCGCAATCCATACCTCTTTGCTTTTTTCCCTCAAGCTACTGCTATGTAGAGCATAAATCTGAAGTAGAAACTACCTCTGTAGTCCACAGCTCGTCTGGGAAGGCCTTTTGTTTGTTGGAAGACATCAGTGGAATAATATTACGTTTAATTAAAACCAGACAAGTTAAGCTCATTGCATAATCTGCTAGAGCCAGAGTTCTTGTTTTGTGGTGAAAAGCATTTTGTTTTGCTTCCGAGTATTCATACTTTGCAAGAAGCTTAGCTGCCAAATTCATACAAACTGCAGCGTATGTCAGACCCACAAAGAAAACACAACAACACAATGGCAGAGGAGGGATTTTTCTGATTGATAAGGAGGAGAGCACAATCTTTATATCCAGATGTATCATAGAAATGTTCATGTTTCCTGACAGCCGATCCTTAAACTTTCCATCCAGTTGTAGGTACCAGATCTGCTCTGAGCCCTCCCCCTTCTTATCATGTCATCATACTACAACACCATTCGGCCAAACTTTATTGCACCCGTTTTAAAAGAATCGGATCCCTTCTGGAGTTTCAATATATTATTACCTATATTTGCTATTATTTTAAATTTCATTGGCGATCTAAATTGGCCAAAGGTAGAAAACAATAATTCCCAGTGTTTAAGGAAAGTACTGCCTTCTAAGTAGGATTCTGCCATTTAACAAGGTGACACAAAGCACCACAGTGCTTTTTTTATTTTTTAGAATCAGTGAAGGACAATTAGAACATTTTAAAAAATGACTTTCGTATGGATTTTAGACAAAGAAAATAAAAATATTTCTACTTGTAGAAAAGAAACACTTAGTCTGGTTCTGCTGGGGGTTTCTTCCTGTTAAAAGGGAGCTTTTCCTCTCCACTGTCGCTACAAGCATGTTTGGTGTGAGGGATTGCCTTCTTTAGTCAATGAGTTGATGCAATCAACCGGTTTTCCTTAGAAAACTTTGAATCAATTTGACTGGATGATCGGTTGAACTGTAAGGTGCCTTGAGATGACGTGTTGTGAATTGGTGCTATAGAAATAAACTGAATTGAATTGAAAGGGTTGTTATTGAAACTATTTTAAAACTAGCTTAATATGGCTAACTGACTGAGCTAAAAGAGGCTAACCTGTTAGCTGCTTAGCACAGCTAGCCAGAGAGCTAAACAGCTCTCCCTCTTATATCATGGTCTTGCAGTTAACTTTGCTCACCATAAACATTTTTTTCAAGCTTTATCAATCAGGTAAAACTTGATCAGTCATTAGACAGGCTAGCATTACAGATGCTCCTGACTCTCCACACGGACGGATGCTGCATTATTATCGTTGTCTGGGCAACCGAAAATGTTCTCTGTCTTGTGGCAATGTTCAGCCAATCATATAGCGCCCACGTCACTGGCATGCGCAGGGTCCGAGCTGATCTGGTACCTACACCTTAACGGATCACTGTATGGATTTCCAGACCTAGAATAAAAGGCCGGGGGCTAAACGATGTCATTTTGTTCTTGCAGCTGTGAGAGTAAGAATAAAAATCTTCTGGCTGAGTATGTAACAGGCTTTAGGGATACAAGTTATATTGTATAAATCAAACACTGAGTCAACATGAACAGATTATCAGGTGAGGGATTAATGAAGTTACACTTTATTACCAAAAGTAATGAAGGACATCATGGTAAAAGGCATGTTTAAATCACTATAATTTATAAGGACCACAAAGTTTTTCACATTCCATTCATTTACCCCGAAATCCCACATCCTCCATCACCGCTCTGCCCCCTCCAGTCTACAGCCTCCGCCGTTCCTCCCGCCTTGCCCCGTGCCGAGTTCCTCGGCGTTTGAGGAGAGCATGCGCGATATTATTGCTAAAATTCATAGGAGCAAAACATGGGGAAATGAACGCTTAATTTAATTTGACTAATATTAAAAAAATCTACATCAGCATGAAGCTGAATGTAATTTCCTATTGGGAAACTACTAGCACTAAGATGCTTCCGACAAACCAGCTACAACCAAATATGCTTGTGAACCTTCTGCCACAACAATCCCGCCCCCTTGATAAACTACCAATCACATCCACTTTATTCACTCGTGTCAAGTCGGGCACCACTCGGGAGAATTCTGAAATGCAACGGTTGGAACAGCCGCTTCCCTACAACTATAAAGAAATTTAAAAAAAAAAAGGAGCTAGAGGCCTATAAAAAGTCAAGAAATATAGCGATCAAGTCGCTAAGTTGACAACAGTGTACAGGACAAACCCCTACCTCCTGAGCCGCTGTCTTAAAAATCAGTAAGGTCAGATAATCCATTTACTTTCTTGGCTTCATGTGTTTTTAGCTTTGCTGTGGAGAAACTTGACTGGCCTGCAGAGTCCTAAAGTCAGCAGGGTAGATAAAACACCTTTAGGGTGAACTAGAGCAGATGCAGCAATTTCTAACAAGGACATACCCCTAAACTTTATTTCTAGAGTCCTTATGTAATGGTTAAAGTTGCTTCTGTGGGCACAGTAGTTCATTAGCAAATTGGGCAAATTGTTCTTGTACATGTAAACATAGACCAATGCTTTTGGTAATATAAGTACTTTCTGTGTTTGATTGTCCCCTAAGTCTAGAAAATTTGGTAAGAAACTGACGTTCAAAGATGTTCCAGACATCCTGATTTTCTTTGCAAAGAAAGATATAAAAACTTAACGTCTCTAGAGGCATCAAGCTGGGTAACCATGGGAACGGGTTGCAAACTGAATCTCCTGAGTTCCCCTGCATTACAGTCAGACCTTGACCACAAAGACAAAGATCTCTGGTTTGTGGTTTATAATGCAATAAATTGTAAGACCTTTATAAAGTGTGTGAATGCATCTTTGGAGCACAGTATTTGCTTTTCAGTTTATTAGCAGCTAACCAGCATGTGGCGTTTTTCTCCAGGTCCTCATGCCGACACGGCCAGCGGTTGCCAGAACCTGCAGTGCGGTTTCCGAGCCTGCTGTCGCTCTGGAGAGTGACTCAGCCCCTCCGACGTTCTCCTCTCCCTATCGTTGCACTTTATCCTGGCAAAACCATTTACTGTGTTTTGTCATTTGTTTCTTTATGAATATGTAATTAGCTCCTGCTATTTCCTTACTACTACTACATTGGAGATAATAGTTTAGAAAGAAGAAAACTGGGTGCAAAAGTACATTTAGATTCTTTTGGTTTGAGGAAAAACAGGGGGATAAGGTTCTAAAAGATTTCAGTTTTGTCTCAAGCTATGGAAATTTGTATGTAAATTCAGCTGCTTTTGTAGATAAAAGCAGACAGTTCCTCAATGTTGGTGTATTCAACTATCCTAAATGTGCAGATCTCTGTTTATGCAGGAGCATGCGGGTTATTCACAGAATCGGCACCTTGTGAATCAACTTCTAAAATATGAAGAGAAAGTTCTGGTTTGGGATCCAGGCAGCAAAGACATAGGAAATAGCAGATGATGTTGCATTAGTGGTTGGGCTCTTCAGTGTTCTGGACATTCAGCTGTCCTGTAAAGGCTATTTTTTTCTTTCTTTATGCACTCCAGTGGGTAAAAAGAACAAATGTTAATATGAAAGGAATCCTCAGCACCATGTCGGAGGGTCTGCGGTCTTTACAGCTTTATGATCCTGCAGCAAGATTTATCTTCTGGTTCTACAATCTTGCATGAGATCTGTTGAAATTGTTGACTAATAATAAAACTTTGGAGTTGGTCACTGCACTCTGTCTACTGTGTTCCGAAAACATTTTCAATTGTTTCCCACTGTGGGCTGTCCTCAGTGGTCATTAAGGAGTCATTTGGTTTCAGTTGTTTAGAAACTAGCATAGAGCTAAGTACAGGATAATCTCTGAACAGAGGCTGCAAAGACTTAAGAACGTACCAAAGACTGGTGTTCTTACAGGAAGATGATGGGATGGGCTGGATTAAAACATCTTTATTTGGGTGTTGGAATGGCTCAGGTTAAATATAAATCCAAGAAAGAACCATTGACAAAAGTTAAACAGATTCTTGAAGCGTTTGGATTCATTACTGAACTGTACTGATGCTGCTTTAATACTGTCTCTCAGAATACTGACACCTGCTGGATCTTTAAAGACATTACAGGCAGCTTATTTGACAGAGTAAACTGAATTGATTTGATGACCTAGTAGAATCATATAATTTAAGTTATTAGGCTAAATTGTATTATTTCATATCCATGCTTAAAATAAAAATATCTTTGATATTTTTATATGCAGTCAATAAATGTAAACTTATATCATGACGTCAAAATTTAGGCGATGCTTGTGGACCAAGATTTTAAATCATAATTTAAAACAATAAGTACAGTAAAACGGTAAATAAACTAAGAGTAAATTTCAAATGACCTTCAATTCACATAATTTGGGTGATAACTGTAAGGAAAAAAATGACACAACGAAATTCAATTAAAAAACGCCACGGCTGAAACTTCCCTATTTAGGGCTGCTCCAAAATTCTTGATAATTTTAATGATAAACCGCAAAAGATTAGATACTTTTTTTTAGCACATGCATCATGTTGACAGATAAGTTTTGGAACAGTTTAGTGAATCAGTCAGAAACAACTCCTGTATCGGTCACATGACTTTCTTGAACCGACAAGCACACCGATACAATTGAACCCATCGCTACTCAACTGTTTAGCAAAGCAGAAGCAAAAAGCCTCCAAATACATAAAGCTGGTAGCTATACTACAATAAACCTAAAGCTTTAACCTCAGTAATATCTGGTTCCACACACAACCGACCAAAGGGGAAAAATATAAATGTATACTATAGTTTTGAAACATGCATTTGGAAACCATAAACCACACTTCTTTAATTTCAAAATTATTTTTACTCTGTCTTATTCCATTATATATAAACTAAGTACATTAAGGTTTTGGTTTACAAGTTCAGGGCAAATTAATACTGTAAGGCACTTAGAACTGATGCTGGAGTGATGACAGGTAGAAAATATTTATCAAAACATTAACATATATACACATTAGTACTTTATAAACAAGATAAAAAGTTATAATAAAAAGCAACAGCTAGTGAAATGTTGAACAGGTTCGGTCTTTGATCACGTGCGGATGAGTGAGGCCAGATAAACCCACACTGACATCACGTTGTTAGGATAAGGATGCACGTACACCGCCATCGCAAACTCCACATTGGATGAGTGAATATTGTGAACCCCGGTGCTGTGAACTGCCTCTACAATCGGTTGGATCTCAGAAAATGGCAGATGGAGCGGGAATCCGGAAATCTGTGAAGACGAGGATACACCAGGTCATTCTGAAAGAACTTCATCCAAACAAAAGTCACACTTTATGCTGGTTTCTGCACATCACTGTGACCAAATGCAAGGCCAGAAATGTTAATCGTTACATATAATCTTTGTTTTGGACGAGTTGCCGGGTTTCTTATTTACCCTGTAGTCTCCGAGGAGGCTCTGCAGCTCAAGGCGGTGGCCCTCAGCCACATCCTGACCGCGGCTCTGCTCCAGTTTGGGCAGAAACTGCTTCAGGGTTGAGTTACAGTACCGGTTCCAGCGAGTTGGGTGAAGTGGGCGCCACTCCATAATCTTCTCCTTCAGTATCTTCTCCACTCTATCCAGAATTAGATGCAAATTGAGGCTTTTTTTCCCCGCTTTATTAATAAAATAAAATAATAGCTGCTATCGTTCCTGTCGCTCACCTGTCCTGAAGCTCAGCTGCAGCTGCTACGTCCGTCTGGCGGTACACCAACTCCTCTGGCTACAGGAGGGAAATAATTAGTGGAAATTGATAATTGACATGTTTAAATGTAAGTTATATATTTACCTGTACACTAGACAGCCCGGGGTGGGAGAAGGAGCGGGAGAAAAATGGTTTCCACATATTGGCCTTAGTGATGTCAAAGTTTGTGTTTAAAGGTGAGGGATTTTCCTGAATGTTCAACCAAACCTAAACAATAAAAAAATTTATTTTTCTATCATTATAGAGGAAGCTGACACTGATATTAATGAGGAAAGTTTCTGGTTATCTAGCGGTTTTTTTTCCACTCACATTGTCAGAATTAACCAAGCAGCCCACAGTCTGCAGGGGGCAGAAGGCGTCGTCCTTTTCATAGAACTGTCCGCTGCTGGGGTTCCAGATGAAGTAGCCGCTCGGCTCATGGGTTAGCACATAAGCTGTGGGTCCCTGTTGGAAAATCCACATTAAACAGTTAGGCCTGTGCTTTCTGAATTTGCTGTGCCTTCCAAAGGAGGTCATACCGCATTAATATCTTTCCTTTTTTTACTTCCTTTAAGCCACAAACCTCAGTGTGTTTGATTGTGATTTTTGATACAAACCAATTTGAAAGGAGTGGTGAAATGGAAAGAAAAGGAAAAAAGGATGTGGGTTAATCCTTTGTAGAAACACATTTCCCTGCAATTACAGCTGCAGCTTATAGAAATAATTCAGTTTTGATCTAATCCTGACAAGGCACCTTTTTCCACGTAGGCAGACAGAACTGCTTATAGCTTTCCCTCAGCAGTGAGGGACTTCATGTCACTCAGAGAATAAGGCTGGAATGAACAATTTCACAATTAATGCACAATTAAACAGCTGACAGGTTCTTCCATCTGAGCTATGGACCGCTGCATCTCCTCCAGAGTTCATATTAGCCTCTAAGCTCATTCCTTACTAGGTCTTTAGTCTTTTTTTCCATTTTCAGATAATGGCTTGAACAGAGTTTCTTTAAGATGTTGAAAGCTCAATTAATAATTTTATAACATTAGTCTGCTTTAAACTTTCCCCACATCACTGATGATGATGATGATGATGCTGCTGCCTGTTCTCTGATGTTCTTTATCAAACCATGGGGGGTTCAAAGAACAGCTGGATCTATGCCGAGAATAAATAAACTGTTTACACTGGATTGTATCCCAGGATATTAGAGCTAAAAGAGGCAGAAACAAATGGAGGCTGTACTTTTCTGATTTGTATTAGTAGAATGTTTAAAAGTCGATTATCCTGTCATTCCTCTTTCTAATGTTTCACTAACTTGTGTTGGTCTGTCATATAAATTCCTGAAGAAATACATTGAAGCTTGTGGCAACGTGATAAAAGTTCAAAAGCCTGAAGTGTTGGGTAAGTTTGTAATGGCGATAGGTTCAGGTTTAACACGCCCAGGTCAGTTACCTCTGGTATGGCTGTGCCAATTATAAGCCAGGCCTTCTTTCCCAAAAAGAGAAAGTAGTTGCACAACAGTACAGCATGTTCCTCCTCATCTCCTGCCAGTAGAGTCAGGAATTGCTGAAACAAAATGAAAACATGTAAGATTGGTAATTCCCCGTCCTGGAACTATTCCCAAATCTTAACTCACGTCGCATGTGCTCCATAAGTCAAAGGCTCCAGAGAAGGAAACCTGGTCCGGCAAAGATGGGATCAGGGAGACAAATCGGGCCACCAGGGTCTGCAAGACGAACGAAAACGATAAACTAAAAGTCGACATCAATTTGTGCTCAGTCAGATTACACTGACCGTTGCCTCCTGAGGGTTGTTAGGAAAGGCATCGAGGAACTGCTGTGGGGGGTTGAGTGGTCGGATGTAACGCGTGATGAAGACCGTCTTCCCACTGAGGTCTATGACTGTGGTGACGCAGCGTCGGTCCGGGAAGCCTTGAGCTGCGTCCTTCTCAAACTTCCCTGAAGCCTGCAGTAAACGCTCATCCTCCTGACTGTCCAACTGCATCAAAGCACCAAACGTTACTTCAGTTAACCACAGCTCAGGGACGTGTTCTAATATAAATTTTTATCTAAAGCACAGGTTGGTGTGAAAGATTCAGAATAGGGTGAAAAACAACGGAAGGTTACCTCTACTTCCTTTATCTAGTGCATGAGGCAGAAAAAAAGCAGGTAAAAAAAAAAACAGACAATACAAGGAACAAATTATTAAAGAAATACCATCTACTGCTAAACAAATAAACAGACTAAAACAAAAGGTAAAAAAAAAGTGAACCTGCTAAGGAATCTCTGAAAGAACAGGAAGGAAGAAAAACAACATTTGAAGGTAGAGCAATTGATAAAATATTCGCTCCCCTTAACCTTTTCAAACTGTTACATTAGAATCACACATTTAACTGTATTCCACTCTAACCGACATATGAAGTGGAAGGAAAGGCCACCTTTACTCCGATATCTCCTGAATAAAGTACAGCTGACTGCGTCCTGAAGTGTCAAAGGTAAACAGACTTAACTTTGTGCCATTTCATCTAATGCAAGTTGGATACCCCACCCCCCTTACAGCTGTGTACAGAGAACCCTGAGGCCAGAGGATACTCTGGCCCAGGCTCGGACTGGTAATATGTGATGATGGGCCCGTCCTAATGTCAGCATGCGAGGGCCGGCTGTCCTTAAATCATACCGACCCCAACATTTACTCTCCGGCCGAAGCACCTCCCTGTGACAGGAAATAACTCAAGGAGCTGAAGAATTGATGCATGCAGTTTAAATAGGCCTTCCTTGTCATGCACATCCTTGAGACGGTTGGTATATGGTGTAATTTTCTATTTCTTCAAACTGTAATATCCTTGCAACAAACTAAATTACAACTAAAATGCTTTCTTTAAACCAAACTACGATGTTCCTCTTATATTTGCCGAATTTATGTTAGAATATTTTGCATATGTAAAATATGTTACGGTGCATGATGGGGTTTTGCATCTAAAGGCTAACATTTCCCGTCTTACATGTATTGTTGCCAGGTTGGGATGTTTTTCAATCTGGTAGATTAGGATGGCTGTCTATGTGTAAAAAATGTTTTTCTTTAGATTTTTAAGCCTAAGATATCAATAGACTTTGGTTCAAATTGGGTGAGATTACGTATATCAGGCGGTTTATGAAAATTTTTTGGGCTGGAAAATGTGAGTCAGTGAAGGCGCTGTTTGTGTGAGTGGGTGTCTGACTGGCTTCGCGCAGGTGTTGACGTTACGCAGCAGCAATTACTGTCACGTCTGTATTAATAATGTGGGGGGCGGGTCCATAAATGGGCCGGTGTAGATGGAAAAATGCCAGGGCCGAAAATCATTCCCAGTCCGAGCCTGCTCTGGCTTCAGGGGTCTTTTAGTAAAAACAGCATCAAGAGGATGAAAGAACAGGGCTGGAAAGGTTTAACCTTAATCCCAAATTTTAAACAGCTCACACATGACTGTTCAATCCTGGGAAAAGTGAACTTTTATGCTCATAATCCCAACTACTGCTGCCCATCGCTTTGAACACGATACCATTGAAACATGGTAGTAGGATTATGCTGGTTTTAGAGACGATCTGAACACAGTTGGAGATGAAAAAGAAAGAGAAAAACTGCTAGAGGCTGAAAATGGTCAGTTAGTGGGGGGGGCAGGAAAACAACTATAAACATGCAGTCAGCGCTGGTTAAGAACAGTCATAGAATCACTCGGTCAGACCTTAAAACAATAAAAAAATAGATTTAGGTAATACTCTATATCCTGTTTAGCAGAGTTTTGTAAATAATCTTTAGAATTGTAAAGCTGGAAAACATCTACCTCAAAAGCCAGAATAAGAAAAATAGATAATTCTGAAAATTATTAACTCACACATGGATCATTTTCCTTCTGCTTCACAACTGGTCGCCACTCTGTGTCGGTCTGTATCGTAAAATCTACACTTTAACCCTTTATAGATCTCCACCCTCAGCGGCTGATGGGAAGGTAACAAACCTTCCTTCTTCCATAAGAAAAAATACCTAATAAACTACATTGAACCATTTGATTTTTAACGTGAAAACTTAAAAAGCTCAAGTGGCACGAATACATTGGTTAGTAAAATTAAACCAAATCAGTAGGAACATTGATGGAAGCCTGAAATAAAAATAAAATCAGACAGGATCTCCATTCCTGAGGACTTGGTTACCTTCACCCTAATAGACTCTCCAGGCACCAGCTGAGGTTCGATGGTGATGAAGAGTCGGATGAACGTCCCTCCACACGTGCTCCGCCAGTGATCATAAACGCTGTTACTGCTGTGCTCCCTGCTGTATCCCAGCAACACGGCCGGCGTGTTCACCTTGAAAGCTCCATCAATCTGTCAGATTGAGAAGGAATTGCCTGTAATCTCCCATTCTAGAAAATGCCCTCTAACAAAATCCACGTGGTAGAATCTCACCTTTGACTGGGAGTAAATGGTGCTGAAGGGGATCTTGACTGAGCCCAGCCAGTGCTTCTCTACCTGCGTGTGAATGGACGTCATCCTCTGTCTGTCACTCTGGGCAGAAAGGTTACAGTTACTGTGGCTGCACCTTCATTTAGATCAACCGTACGTAGAACAGTGCTTACCGGTCCACTCTCTAACAGCACTTCATCAAATATGTTGATGAAGACTTCATCTTTGACAGATTGCAAGCCGGCAGTGCTATAGTCACCGTTAGGTGCGCTGCGGAAAGACGGAAAAGAAATAAGTTAATTTTATTAACTCAATAAAGCAACAGGTAAACCTTCTGATAAATACACTGAAAATTGTGCTTTTAATATGATAACTAGAGAAGCATTCAGAGCACAGACCTCCACCAAGCAGCATATTTTACTGCATAACCCAAACGTTAGATTATGACTTTTGGAGTCCAATGCTGAACCTGTCAATAGCCACTAGTCTCACCCTCTGCTTTAGGGGGGAAACTGCTTGTTTCTATAAATCTTCATCTTACAATGTTAAAGAATCCTTTAAAAAGAAACCTCTATCTGGATTATGATTTGGATCATCACTAATATTATAGAGGTTGTTCCTTGGTATGAGGCGCACCTCTGGTAAAAATGTCATTAAAATCTGTCCATAACTTTCTAAGTTATCCTTTACACCAGGGGTTTCAAAGTAATTCCAGTAAAGGGCCGTGTGGCTGCAGGTTTTCTTTCCAAACAAGCAATAGCACACCAGACTCCAGTCATCTCATCAAGGGAGTCCAATCTTGGAAAGAAAACCTGCACCGACGCGGTCCTTTCTGGAACCAGTTTGACTCCTGTGCTTTACACAGAAAGACAAACAGACAAACACACACACTTCTAAAAACCTAAAAGTAGGAAAATGTTAAAAGGGTAAGAACACATTTGAGAGATTTTTACCAGTGATGGAGATACACAAATTAATTATTTGCATTGTAAGAATGTAAAAAATGGATATCCAAATGCTGCTTTGACAGCATAGTGACGATAACAGACTGTTGGGGGTTATTGCTAGCCAATCTACATACAGACAGGAAGGGAGACAGGAGGACAACGTCACTATCAACAAAACGAGGGTGAGGACTTCTGCAAAACAGCCCCAATTTGCCCAAGGCTTTATAAATAGGGAAACAAGGTTTAGAGATTCTGTTCTGAGAACCAGTAAGAGTAGTTTTTAGACCTGTGGGTCGGTGGTACACTGAAAAGAGCGCCATGCCTGTAGTGTGGCATGGCAGGGGCTCTGTGGTGCTCTGGGGCTGCGTTACATACTATGAAGCAAATCCAATGAGAAAAGCGGGATGCTGTTTGTAAAATGGCTTTAGTTTGGGCGCCAACTGGCAAAGGAAACAGGCAGTTGCAGCAAACTAGATGCCTTTTGTCTGTGAGGTGTGAACTCAAATTCCTCTGGAACGCTGCCAGCAGCTGGTGTCTGGCTGTGAAGCATGCTTGCAGCAAGTCACAACAGCAAAGGGGGCTCTACTATCTACTTGTTTGGAAGTTCCAACTGTTATTAAAAGGGACACCACTTTGTTGGGCTGTTTCATTTTCTGGTAAATCTACAGTATGTACAGTAAACAGCCTCTAATAAGCATATATTTCCAATACAGTGAACCCTTGTTTATCACGGGGGTTACGTTCCAAAAAGAACCCGCGATAGGTGAAATCCGTGAAGTAGAAACCTTAATTTTTTTACAGTTATAATACAATGAAATACTCCATACAACATTGAAATCAAGGAACAAAAACTTTTTACAGGCCCAAGCATTTGTTTAACAAATAAAAGTACGGTATAAACGTTGTTAACTACTGTACTGTAAAATAATATAGTTATAAATAAAATAAATAAATAAATAAGTAATAATTATAATAATGAAGGGTTAATATTGCGGAGATCAGCACCGCCCCGCCGTGACGGATTGGAACGGGAGAAAATGAAAAAATACAAAGTACAGTAGGACAAATAGTGACTGACGTGTACAGTACAGTATTTCACTACTGTTTGATGGAGCCGCTGCATCCTGATTGCTCTGTGGCGTTTTTTTCTTCTAAAGCCTGCGGTGCAGGTGTGTGTTTTGGAGAGAAGAACTTAGTTATTGGTAGTTGTTGTCGCTCTTTTTTTCTTGTGGGCCAAAAGATCCTTATAAACCGACATGCCACCATTAATATGTTTGACAATAAAGTTTAACAATGCATGATGCAAATCCGTGAAGCAGCGAGACCGTGAAAAGTGAACCGCGTTATAGCGAGGGTTCACTGTAATCCTAATTCACAGAGTGGTTTAAAATACATATTTTTTATATATATAGATTCATCTCACACAGAATGAAAAAGATCGTAGCCCATGGCTAATAAAATACAAAAATTCTAATTCCCTAAAGATCTCTATATATAATTTACAGAGCAGCACATTTCTTTCTCATGTAGAGATATTTGGTTGTCCTCCAAAATCATGGAAAACACTACAGACATGATATGTGTCCAATCATACCAACACATTTCTGTTCTAATTGGACTAAATCTAAGGTTTTCATATAATAAAAACAGAAATATTCAAATAGAGTTCCATTTTGAACAATAATATTAAAATCAATACAATCCTAATTATTCATTTTACACGTAAAACTCCTTCAATTTTATTGGTTCTTTTTTTATTGTGGTTGAAACAGGCGGTTTAAACCGGATCTCTATCTTTTATCCTACTGAAATAGGATCTAATAATAAATTCAGGAAAGAAGAGCCTGCTTTAGGGTGCAGCTGGTTACCTAAACGGCAGCTGCAGCTCCTCATTCCAGCTCGGATTTGGTCCATCAGCCGTGGTTGTTTGGAGCACCGTGCGCTGGAAGGAAACCTCCACAAATGGCCTCACCTGTATCTGCATTACAGAAACAATAAATACTTAAAATGGGAGCTATAGGTCAGACTGTTCCAGCTGTAATGTAGGGTAGGGGTGTCCAGTACCTGGCTGAGGTACCAATCACTGCCCTGGAGGACACTCTGAGAAGACTGTCCCGGTTTACTGGAAATCAGAGGTTCGTTGTCAGACATCCTAAAGTACAACATCTACGCTGTGTGTTCCTTCCATTGTAGATCGTCAAAACAAGAACCACTCACTTGCTCTGGGGTTTACGTATGGGGATGTTGTGGGCCCGAATGACATTAATGAGCAGTTTGATGTCTCCGTCGGACAGATTCTGGGCAGTCACCTTTTTCCTTTCTTTCCTTTGAGGTTTCAGTGGCCGTTTGGACTCAGCCAGCTTGAAAAGGTTAATTCCAAGAATCCTGTTGGCAGCAACAGGCATAACGTCTAAATACCAGTGGTTCAAACTACGGAGCAATGGATGGATGGGACTGCTGGCTACTAACAGTGCTCAGTTCCCAAAGGAAACAGGAAGAGATTTCTGCAGTTAAAACTAATTTGTTTTATTTAATTCCTAGCTTTTCTAGAGAGTGATGCAACATTTTCTCAAATAGCACATTTTTAAAACAAGATACAGACTTAAAAATATATATATATTTTGATGTACAGAAGATAACAGCAGATGAATAGTTTACAGAGTTGTTCTAAATTTTATTATGTTTTCATCTAAAAATGTCTACTGAGATAAAAATATTGTAAAGCAGCGAAATCACACATAAAAATGCAAAAAGATGATGTATGCCATAGTTATATGTTTGCACAGTTATGTAATTCTTCATTATCATTTCTAAATGTGTTGCAGTGGTCTTCTAAAAAGGACTGAATACTGCCAGTGGTCTAAAGGTACTAGAGTTTCGGTACCTGAAGTTTGCAACTAAAAAGCACACAGAGGCGGGGCAGGGGAGAGGCAAAATAAAAGCTTTACACACATACCCTGAACCTGCACCACTTTAAAAGTGATGTGCAAACGAAAGGCATAAACATAGAAAACACATTTTAAACGTTCAGTCACAGTTATGACAAGAACAGAAAAGCTTTAACTGATGCACATTTATTCAGACATATCATACAGACCTCAGTGGTTCTATCAGTACTTCTTTGGAAGATCTGTTAAAAGTCCCCTCACTTTTTACTTTTGCTTTTAGAGCTGGTGACCATTTATTTAGTGGACGAAAGCAAAAAATTAAGTGAACAAATATTGCCACTGATCGCGGAATCATTGTCCTTCCCTTCCTGGACAATCTCATCCATATTCTGTTCCTTTTAGCAGACAGTCTGATGTTTGTCTGGTCAAATTATTTTGCTATTAGCTCATACGTTTTAGAACCATTTCCCTGTAGGTAACCACAGTTCTGGTTCCCTGGTTGTGTCCAGACCATTTTGAACAATCTTGTAGTATTTTGAAGAGTTCATGCTTTCTAATCAAGGTACCAAAAACCGCTGGACGAGCCTCAGGCCCACAGAATTACAGCGTCTCCACCGTACCTAACAAAGAGCAAGGGGTTGCTTTTCAAATGCGCATCCGTTAGTTTATGCCAAAGGCACCAGGACAGTGTCCGAACGTCCACCCTAACCCCTAAATCCATCAATCACTATATAGGGCAAGGACTTTATAGTGAACTCAGTTAACTGAATGTGCGCACAGATGATCACTGCTTTTTGCTCCCTGTTGGTCATGTAACTCCGTATCGCTTTTGCTGCCCGACAACTAGACGTTCGCACACTCATTTAAAATGGCGTAGCCACTATATGGTGCCCTATATAGTGATTAGGGCAGACAATCGGACACAACCATAGTCTCACCTGGCAAAATAAAGAAAGCCTTCCAGATGAGTCTATAATGGGAATTCTAATAACGTTCTCATTATCCTATTCTGACAGAATAAACAAGCATCTTAGTTTAGTCTATGGAACACTAACCAACAGAAATGAGTCCCTGAATCATGTGTTTACTCGTGAACCAAAAGGTCAAAGATTACTACTTAGAAGTTTTATCTCTGCTTCTGTCTCCTTGAACACCAGTCAGCCTCAGCAGATGGCCGCTCACACTGAGCCCGATTCTGCTGGAGGTTTTTTCCTGTTAAAAGGGAGTTTTTCCTCTCCACTGTCGCTACAAGCATGCTTAGTGTGAGGGACTGCCTTTGAGTCATTGAGTAGATCAACTGGTTTTTCTTAGATAGAAAACTTTGAATCAATTTGACTGTATGATCTGGTGAACTGTAAAGTGCCCTGAGATGACGTGTTGTGTGAGTTGGCGATATATAAATAAACTGAATTGAGTTCTAGAAACGCTGATCAACCTCAAAAAAGTAAAGTATAAGCGGAAAAAAAAGCATCACTTTTTATGGGGCGGATTAGTATTTTTGATAGCAGTAAATTATTTTACATCCTCTGATCAGATATAACACGCTTAGAGCAAATTAAAGATCTGAAAGGAAGAAAGGTATTATGGTTTAATATTTACCCAATGCTTGGTATCTCTTCTTCAATCACCAGGTCGGACAGTTGGTAGGAATGTTTGGCCAGAATAAATCTATCGATGACCGATTCCCTTATCTGTGGGGAAATTCCACCATTACACAACAGCTGACTCAATACCTCAGGGGAAAAAACAGGTGCTTGTACATAAAACTGTATTTACAGACCTTGTGAAGGTATCTGGCTGCTAAAGCTCTGTGAGGATCCAAATGTTCCTTGGTGTCAATATCCTCCCCATCTTTTAATCTTTTTTCATACTCCTAAACTCATTTGAACCAAAGACAAAGAAGAGCAACAGTTACACCTAACGAATCATGTGTGAATCCTTTCATCTGTTTTTGTGATGTGGTCAAGTTTTGGAAGGCTAACCTGGAACACCTTGTCAGGGATCTCCCTTTCAAGAAGAGGAACAAACTTGCAATTACGAAACTCTGGAACTTCCTGGTTCCTGAGCCTGAGCAGGCGGAGCCTTTTGGACCGCTCCATCTCCTCATCTGTAACGAAATTAAACTCCTCCTGCAGATGCTCAAGGCGAAAGTAGTCGGGGGCGGTCACCTCTCCGCTGCTCGCCACCTGGAAGGAAGCAGCAGCCGTTCCTCTTTAGGCTTTGATTCTAATCCAGGAAACAACCTTTTCCGTTACTCACTTTCAGCAGCTGCATGATGGAGGTGTTCTTCGGATCGTTGGGGTCCAGTCGTGACTGTGTGGCCCACTCACCAATCTTTTTCATGTCATACAGTCCGGAAGCCCCGATATAGGAGACAGCATCTAGATGGCCTCTGCCAGAAAAACAGAAAAACAAAACTTTTAACATGGACAGAAAAAAAAAAAAAGAAAAAAAAAAAAAGTACTCTCATCTTTAGAAAACCAAGGAAATACAACCAATCTGCCCACCCACTTAATACCATGAGTCAGATGAATATATGACTGTACCACACTAATGTGATGCTGTTTCATAGCATCTTCTTTACAGAGGGTTTCTATACATTTACCAATTAAAATTAAGTACATGGCCAAACACAAATTCCTCATTTTTAGACTTTAAAAAAAAAACATTTTTAGACTAAATCTGGGTTTTTTATTTTTTGTCAGAGCAACACTACTTTAAATCAGACTTTTTTTTTATCAGTTTTCTATTCTGTGGTAAAGGACAATTTCACAGCTTTACTACCAGATAAACGTGATTGAACTTTCTGGGAACAATACGTACATTCAATTCAATTTCTCTTCAGTTTATTTATATAGCGCCAATTCACAACACATCCCATCTCAGGCACTTTACAATTCAGCTAGATCATACAGTCCAATTGAAACGTTTTCTTTCTTAGGAAAATCAGTTGATTGCTTCGACTAGTTGACTCAAAGGCAATCCCTCACACTAAGCATGCCTGTAGCGACAGTGGAGAGGAAAAACTCCCTTTTAACAGGACGAAACCTCTAGTAGAACCAGGCTCAGTGTTCTATAAACATAAAGGTTTATACCCAGAAAACATTTCCATGTATTCTCTCCTTCATTCTCCTAATAAGTTTGTATTTATTTGTCAGTGCTATGAAATTAAAAAGAGTTTAAATTCGAATCCCAAAAACCATAATATCGGAAGGCATGTTAATATCAGTTAAAGTGAAAGTCTGTCAGTCCTCTTTTTTCAACATACACTAAACATATAATTTCATGAATGCATCAGTGTTTGCTACGACTTTTGAAAGAAATGTTTGAAGGGAGATAATTGCTGCCTAGAAAAACTTGTTGGACAGAGTCTAGCAGCTTTTTTATCCACGCCTAGTGGAGGCGGAGTTATGTGCCAATCGGTGAGCTAAAAGTAGTGATCATCTGTCCGAAAGGTCAGTTAACTTAGTTCACTATAAAGTCCACTATATAATTCTCGCTCTATATAGCGATTAAAGGATTAAGTGTTATGGTTCTCCCCGTGTAGACTTCTGTTTAACTTTCTTTAAAAGCTTTTCAGTTCCACTTTCATTTATGTTATATGTTTTCTTGTGCATCGGTTTCTTTCCCATTTTGTGTTATAAGCAGTCTTGTATTTTTTTGAGTTGCTCTCTGTTGCCCTCTTGTGCAGGTCTCTTTTCCATTAGCTCCTTCTGGTTGCTTCTGTCTACACCTGCTCCCCATCAGATAATTAGTCCTCCAATTGTTTCTGTCTCCCATATATACACCTCCTGTTCAGTTACTCTCTGCTGGTTTCTCGTTCTTGCTTGACTCCCCATGTATGTTTTCACCTGTCGTCTAATGGTTTTTGGTATTTTGCTCTTGGATTTTGTTTCTGTTACCCCTTTTCATTAAATCAGCAAAACTCATCTCTGCCTCCTCCTCTCTGTATTTGGGTCCCTAAGCAACCTCCACCCTGCTTTGACATTAAGGGGCTAGGGTGGATGTTCGGATACAGCCAAGTCAGCACAGAAGGATGCTGTTAGCTTGGTGGAGCTACTTACAGATCTGCTTTTAAATCAAAGTATTACAATGACATGGAAACTTAGTTTTCCACACATTTAGAACCTGTAGACAGTTTGGTGAATCAGTGTTTGGCCATTTTTGTGTTTATAATTTTAGGAATATTGTCCTTTAACATTCCCTCTGTGGCAGTACCTGTGTGTGCCCCCCGGTTGCTGTGAAGCAGGTGGTGCAAGCGGGACTCCTTCTTCCCCGATCCCCCATGACACACAGCAAGACAGCTTCCCAGAGGTCAGCAGCGTCAGTTTGTTGCTTCCATCGGGCTCGAAGGAGAGCGGAACATCTGAGGAGATATTTAGAGAGAGTGTCTTAATAAGGTGACATGTCTCAGAACCATGAACCAGTTCCTAGTGGCCTTTAAAGCTCTGCACCAAAAGAGTAAAAAGGAACTTTTCCTTTTTTTTCTATTCTAGAGATTGAAATCTTTTCCTTTTTTAACTTTGGCTTTAAAACATAGTTACATTACTGCAGCGTTTGTGCAGCAGCTCAACCCTTAAAATGCATCTTAGTGATGAGATGAACTAAATGTTTGCAAAGAATAATTAAACTTGAAAGTAAGGCATCTTGTCACAGGCCCCTCAATAAAAAACAAAGCAAACATTTTGTTGCATTTTTGAGCCGGTTGAGATATTTTTTCTGTGCTCATTATCTGTAGCTTTTTTAGTCCTTCATATGTACCCCTATTATCCTAGAATCAGTCATTGTTAAGTAGCCCAAACAAAGCACACATAGAGAGGTCTACATTTGAAGCTAAATAAGGATATTAGGAGTGACAAAGGGCTTTTCAACAATGCTGGATATTTTTGGGTGTGTTTGGCCTAATGAAAATTACCACTTCCAACTCCCTCGTGATCAAACATCACCCGTTGGTTGCTGCTGAACTCAAATTCCTCTATAGGAGCGCTGCCTGTAACGACGGCTGGGTCAGGGACCGGAACAAAGACCTGAGCCAGCAGGGAGCAGGACGACCCGATCTCCTCAAACACCTGCCCACACATGGCACACCAGACATAGAGGCAAAACCGGTTAAAACTGGAAGACTGCAGTGAGTTATTTAACTTAGAAATGTGTGAAAACTGACAGAATACTTCTACTGCACCTGCAGCTTAATGCTTTGGGGGCAGTTGAGTATTTTCAGATTGAAAATCTGACCAAAGTGAACCCTGAAGTCGTTGCTCAGTGAGCGGCTGTCGGTTCTGGAAACTTCCTTGTCGTTGTAAAGGATTTTGATGAAAAGAGAACGCTTGGAAACGTCTTCCCGCCGAGCTATTTCAGCCCTGAAAGAGGAGGGAGTAAGAGAACATATCTGGAATAAATGAAATACTCTGGAAGTCTGACTACTATGCAAACCCCCTCAGCATTGAGAGCATTGGTTCATATCCTGGGTTAAGGTTTGTACCTGGGGCAGAGTTCACTGGCTGTGATGCTACCTGATGCAGACAGCTCTGGGATCAGGATGGGCTCTCCTGGTTTCCTGCGAATCCTGGAGGCCTTTTCTCTCACCCACTGCTCCGTGGATTCAATGTCTGGTCTCTCAGGGGCCTCTGGCTTCACAGGTCCTTCCTCAGAGGGCCCGTCAGACTCGCTCCCATCCTGATCTTCTTCTTCTGTGTCATCCTGGGCCTGGCCTTTCTTCTTCTTCTTTTTCTTTTTCATTTTGGCTTTCTACAATCAGTGAGCAAAAAGACACGTGTTTGAATATGACCGTGAAGCTCCACCAAACGAGGCTGAACAATGACCCATAGGTACCTGCTTTTTCTTCCAGAGTTTCCAATCTTCCAGTTGCTTCTTGTACTCTGCTGCTTTCTTTTGGTATTCTTCTTCCATTTCTGCTGCCAGCTCCAAAACCTCTGCCGAGATTTCACCTTCATACTCCCGCTCATCTGAAGCCCGATCTACATTCTCCCTAAAGGATCGACACCAAAATACTGAAATGTGATGCAAATTTACACAATCCTGTTAAGCCTAACCTGAATATGACAAACCGGTGTGCTGTGCTCTGGAATAATAACAACGCCAATTCATTTTTTTCCCTTATATCCTCATGTTAATGACGACCTTCAGTAATTTGCAGGGATTTTAGCCGATAGATGAACTTAAAGAAATGCATTATTTTGTAACTGGACTATAATAATGCAGAATTTCTAAAGAAACAGAGATTAATGGCTTTTGCTAAAGGAAAGCAACCCGGCAGTGTGATGCTTTTACATCTGTGGGGGGCTGTATTCATAGTGAAGAGCAGGAAGAATTTGAAGGGCGCCTCCTTTTACTCTCTCATAAGTGTTCCTGTCAGCAGGTTCTCCCACCTGAGGAGCAGTTCCCTGCAGCTCCTCTGGGGAAACAATAGGCCTTGTAGCGTAGCTGTTTCTCTCTTTAATGGTGTTGGTACTTTTATAGTTGTGTGATACTGTTCTTATTTCCAGATAAATGTTTTGTTAGTTTCAAAACATGGAATATTGTCTTATCACCAAATCATTGCTTAAAAGTCAACTTTCTCCTGTTTGTTAATTGATGTTCTGTTAAGCAGGAGTTCCTGAAGTGGGGATCGGGACCCTCCTTAGGGTCATGACATGTTCTTCAGAATCATTGTCATCCCTGATATATATATGGAAGGCTAAAATATTTCATTAAACATTATTAAATGAATAAGCTGACCATGAAATAAGAAGATGTAACATTTTATTTATCTAATGCGTGATTCAAATATTTAATACGCCAATAACTTATAAAGTGCACAGTTAGTGTGGCACTGAATAATTAAAAATGTATTTAAAATAATGAATTAACAATTTATAATAAAAAATACGTATTTAACATTTCATATAATTACTTCACTTTCTATGTATAAATAAACTTAGAGTGACTAATAATATGTAATATAGGGAGTGGCTATTCTGTTGCATTGTTATTTTTATGGTCAAAGGCTGAAATGTCTGGGAACCGCTGCTGTAAAGAACTTTTAACTCTTGAAATGTAAAAAAAAAAACAAAAAAAACAAACAAACATATCGTTAACCTCTATTTAATCATTGGAGGGTGGCTATATTTTTACAATGTAGAAGCATCAATCATGGTCAAAGACTTTGTTTTCAAAGTGAAATTATAATAAATGAATAGCAGAGCTCTAAGAAAAAACATTCAGATGTGTGAATTGAGATGTAACCTTCTAAGGTAGAGCTTAAAAGGTGTGTTGGTGAACTGCTGAAACTCTCTCAGGGACTTGATCTCCTTCCACACTTTAGTGATGCTCTTCAGCAGAGTCCTGTCTTTCTCCTGCTCTGTGTCTCTCAGCTGCCGAGTGTTCCTGTAACAGCCCGAAGGAAAATATCCAGCAGGGAGCTTGTTAGCTAATACTGCTTCTGAACAGTGATGGACTGAAAAACACCTCACCTCACTTCCAGACTGTACTCAGAAACCCTCTGCTGCAGGGCCTCAGAGGAGCCCTGCTCACCGTGAATATTCACCATATTACGCAGGGCGTTCCTTAGACCGTTCAACTACGGAAGAAGAGGAAAAATTGACTAAATCCTCACAATATTGCAATAAAGCAATTTCAAACGATACGGTTGTTGTGAAAACTGCTTTCTGTACCCTAACATTGAACCTATCAGAGCTTACCTTATCAGTGAGGTTGCCTGTGAGGTTGTTATGTTGTCTGGTGAGGTACTGATCGTACAGCTGAGCTAAACGTGACGCCAGGACATGTTCGCGGCTGAAGAGAGGGTGATGGGAGAAGATCAGCCCAGAGACATCAACGTCAAGCTGGTAGTCTCCCTCAGGGTCTGCAGCTCCAGCAATATACAGGTTTGCGTACTTGGACTTCAGAGCCTGGGAGGAATAAAAACAGCATCATCCACTGTGCTGGTCATGAACATTTTCTGCTCCGATGTGTTCCCATGCTCCAGTTTCCAGTCCAGACATCAAAGTTTATTGAAGGATGCAGGAGAGTCTGACCTTCCTGTAAACAGTTTGCAGGGCGGGATCCAAGTCGCCCTCCATGTGGAACAGAGGTGGCCTGGTGGATGATTCCTTTATAGGGTTAGGCAGAGCGAGAATCTTCCCATCGTCTCCAAACCATTTGTTTCCCTTAAGAGAGAAATAAACAACAAAAGAAACTGAATAAATCTGAAAAAAAAAAGAAATGTGGGAACACATGTATGGGAACACATCAGCTGATGATACCTCCGCCATTTTTAAAATGCGATTCTCCAAAATGTTTTCATTGGTTCCAAATACAGGAGGCCTTTCTCCTACGTAGAGACCTTCATCCTCCAGAAAGCGGGGCTTCATATTTTCAGGCAGTTTAACAGAGGTCGGAACTGCAGGAAATGTGCACAAAATTAGGAACAGAAACCTGCCAGTCAAAGGTGTTGCTATCAGAATAAAAGTTACCTGTTCGAAAGCTTGGAGTAAACAAGAGCTCACGGTCTCGCTGAACACGCTTATGGTAACTGATGTACTCCGCTTTCCTCAGTTCCACAAAGTCCTGCGGCGATTGGTCAATGATGAATAAATCATCTTCACTCCGAACCAGAGGAGCTTCTTCACTCTGAGGTGAGAAACGGGAACCATTCACTCACAATTTTACAGCCCAAACAGAGCCTCCCAAAGGTATTCATACCTCTCCGTGTTTTTTTACATAGTTTCATTTAATTATTATATAAAAAGACAAAGGTTGAAAAAAAATTCAAATAAAAAAAAAAAAAAAATCAGAAATGTCCAATTTCTCTGTCCTAAATGTTTATGTAACATTTAGGACAGAGTACAAACTATCTAACCCGACTCCTCCAGATGGATTTGCTCCGCATATCCATCTGGAAACCTTCCGTAGAAGTAATTTTGGGAAGGGGCGAAAATACTGGTTAGCTGATTGGCCTATGTTGGTG